TCATTATATTCAACTTGAAGAGACCATCACTCATGTATCCCTTACCAACATATATACCACTCTTTGTTAAAACAAATTTATCAGACTCAAATACAAGCCTAAAACTATTTTTACTTAACAAAGAACTAGAAACTAAATTCTTTCGGATGTCTGGTACATGCAGCACGTTTTTTAGGGTAAGTTTTTTCCCTGATGTCATCTTCATGATCACCTTTCCTTGTCCAGCCATAGTAGAAATAGAAGAATTTTCCATAAAAAATTGTTCACCATTTGCAGCCTCATTGTAAGTAATGAATATCTTCTTGTCCACACAAATGTAACGAGTTGTCCCAGTGTCAACCCACCATTCTTTGGGATTTCCAACCAAATTAGCCTCAGATACCACAGTAGAGAGATTGATGTCATTTACCCCGTCAGAGATGTAATCAAGTTCTGTCACATTGGCTTGATTGGTAGTCTTCTTGCTTGTACTTCCGCAATCCTTCTTAGGGCGGCGGCAATCAGAGGCTCAATGTCCGATCTTGCCACAGTTATAGCATTTACCTTTGAACTTCTTATTGCCATTGTTGTCGCCTTGTTTAGGACCATCTCCAGCAAACTTTCTCTTTTTGTTATGTGGTTTGTGCACTTGTTCAACCACATTAGCCTTGGACTCAATGGGATTTTTACCATTCCTCTTTTCAGCCTTCCAGTTATCTTCCTCAATTCTCAGTCTTACAATAAGTTCATCCATGGTCATCTCTTTGTGTTTATGTTTTAAATAATTTTTGAAATCTTTCCAAGCTAGTGGTAACTTTTCCACTAAAGCAACAACTTGGAAAGACTCGCTAAGAGACATACCTTTAGAATGAGTATCATGCAAAATTAATTGAAAACTTTGAACTTGAGAAATTACCGTCTGAGAGTCTACCATAACGAAGTCCAGAAATTTACCGACAACAAATTTCTTTGTACTTACATCCTCTGTCTTGTATTTTTTCTCCAAAGAATCCCACAATTCTTTTGATGTTTTCAGAGGGCTGTAAACATTATACAATATGTTGTCAATGCCATTGAGGATGTAGTTTCTGCACAAAAAATCAGAATGTTTCTAAGCGTCTACAGCGGCAATAACTTGCCGATCACTTTCATCCTCTCTAAGTACTGGAACCTCTTCACGGAGAAACCAGGTCAGATTTAGAGTTGTAAGATAAAACAACATTTTCTTCTGCTATCTCTTAAACTCAGTACCGTTAATTTTTTTTGATTTTTCTCCATGATTTATTAGAACTTGAACATGGTTCTGGATAAGGACCGAAGTCGGTGTAACGATCGGATTTGGAGTACTACTTTCAGCAGCCATAATATCTGATTACAAAAAATTAGAAAAAACCAAAACCAAATTAATTTTCTAGTTATTAAAACCAGAAAATAAATTATAACACAAAATAATTTTACTTTTCTTATTACCAAAACTAGAAAAATAAAATACCACAATAATTTTCTATAACACTATTACACAAAATAATATTCTAAATTATTAATGACACCAGTATATTACTATTCATTGTCAAAGAAAATAAACAGTATATTACTACTATTTGTCAAACAGTATATGACTACTATTTTTATTTTCCAACTAGTATCACTCCGTAAAAAGCACAGAAAATAAATACAATGAAGACACCAAAAAATAATCCGTCTTAAGATTGTTGGACAATCTTCACTGTATTAAGAATAAATAATGTTTGTGTACTTAACAACAAACAGAAGAAATAAGAAAATGAGAGAAATTGTTTGATTACAAAAATCAAACCAGTAAATAAAAATAAATAAATAAAAAATATATATTTTTATTGTGTTTACAAAAAAAAAAAATCAAAATCTGATATAAATAAATAAAAACAGAAAATAAATTAACAACTTACTTTATTAATTTCTCGAACAAAATTTTTGATCAAGTCCAGTGTTTAACACTGTGTCCTTAAGATAGATTCGTCCTCTCCACGGTACTTTCAGATTTGTGGACGTGTATCTCTTAAGATAAAATGATCAACAACGAATAATTGCAGCACTACAAATTATTCGCACAATGAACACACTTTGTGTTTTATACTCTTTTTCACAAGAAAAATATGCAGCAAAATGCAGAGAGAGCAAGCAAAATTTGGGACGAAAATTGAGTGAAAAAACCAAATGAGAGACAGCCTATTTATAGATAGAATGGTGGCCTTTCAGTTTGAATTCAACAGGTATGGTACCTGTTCGGACAGATCTGGTTTGATTTTCAAACAAATAAAAAAATGTTTTGGGTTTAAACATATTCGGATCTATTGGACAGATATGGAACTGTACAGAAATTTTGAAGAGGTGCAAACAGATTTGAATTCAAAAATTGAAATTAAACTAAATAGATTTTAAGAATTAATTTCAAATTCTGGACAGATTTTATTTTGCCAAAAATAAAATTAAATTCAAATGTTTTTGACCCAAAAAGATAGGGTATTGGGCCGGACAAGTCCAACCCAACCTCACATCACACCACGCACCCGCGCCCAAGCCTAACCCGCCCGCCCGACCGGACGGGCTACGGCAGTGCATGCATGTGTTTATTTTTAGGTCCAATGGGTCTAGACTAATTTGCCCATAACCTCTCCCTTCTACGAACTTGGGGTGCCCATTGGGGCATTCCCTAAGTTATAATCCCATGCCTTATAAACCCACTCAAAACTTGACCACCAAATCAATGTGGGACAAGCCTTAAACCAAACCTTTAGGAAATTTCACCAAAAACACCATTTCTATGGAGCTTTCTTTGGCTTCAATTTTTCATTCATCCGATAATGGTTTTGAGCAACCAAATATACTACGTGAATCACAACGTGGCATAGAACGCGTTACCACTTAGACCTGCCAAATTTGAAGCATAGGTCCCACCTAAAAAATAGACCAAAGTTTAGGAAAAAACTGATTTTCCAAAACCATTTTTAACAATAGCAATTTACTATAACAATTTCAAATTTAATTTTGGTATAGCAAAGCTGATAAAGGAGTGAATTTTGAATCTTTTCTTTCTAAAATAACTCAAAAACTATTATAACGAGCTTGATGTGGATGCTCTAATATATTTTTTCTTATTAATTAAGATCTCTTAATAATATTATTAGAAAAATTTCAACTCGTTACAGAGAAATTTGAACTCATAAAATTTTTCTGTAAAATTTCTTTGTGCATCTGAAACTTCTCTTTGAAAAACTTATGCCAAAATTTTTCAATCAAAATATTGAGGGACCCCAACCACTATGAAGATATTGCATGTCTTTTATCTCATTAAATCTTAAGGATTGTTTGGGAACAACCTAAAATAGCATAGTTGTTGTCTTTTTATCTTATTTTGGTCACATCACCTCTTATTTGAATCACATCATCTCTCTATTTCTCTACACATATTTTCGTAAAAAGCAAAAAGTTAATAGCCTATTCCCAAACAACCCCTTAATATCAGAGACCTTAAACTAGGGGTGGGCATCAGTCTGCTGGCTCGGCTAGCCTAGCTCTATGTTTTTTAGGGCTTAGGAATATTATTTTAACTAATAGGATCGGGCTGGGTTGATATTTTCAACCCAATAAATTAATGGATTGAGTTTGAAAATTATATTTTTAGCCTGACCCGGCCCGATGCATTACATATTAGGTTTCATATTTATTTGGTAGGTGATACAATGCAAAGACACCTTATCCTATATAAAGAGATAGACCAATAATGACCAAACCCTTCCTAGAGGCAATTATCAAAAATAACCTACTCATATAGATTCATTGTTGGATAATCCACAATATTAGCTAAGGCATACATATAAATGAATATGATAGTAGAGGAGTGAGAAAGCGAGAAAGGCATAGTTTGTGGAGTCCATTAAGAAAGGAAAACATGAAAATGAGAAGGAAATAGATGAAGTAACAGATGAAATCAAATATTACATTTGGGCCTTCCATTTTCGAATTAATTTTTTTTCCAAAATATGTAGCCAACAGATTCATTGTTGGATAATCCACAATATTAGCTAAGGCATACATACAAATGAATATGATAGTAGAGGAGTGAGAAAGCCAGAAAGGCATAGTTTGTGGAGTCCATTAAGAAAGGAAAACATGAAAATGAGAAGGAAATAGATGAAGTAATAGATGAAATCAAATATTACATTTGGGCCTTCCATTTTCGAATTAATTTTTTTTCTTTGTAACTATGTTTGTGTTTAATTACAGGATTGTTTGGAATAATTAAATAAGTATATTTTTTGACTTTTTACAAAAGATATGCAAAAAAATAAAGAGGTAATGTGACCTAAATAAGTATATTTATCTAAATAAGTGCACCTATTTAGTTTATTCCTAATTGAATTTAGTAACTTTTTAGCTAAGAAATTATGAGAAACAAAAGGAATATAGTGAATAATGATTAGCGAATAAGTATGAACACGCCATATTTCGAAAATATCCAATAATTTTCCTGCCTAGTAAGTCCCAAGTAGTAAGTAGGATGAAACTTTACTCTATAATGTATTGAATTATCTTATTCTTCCAACAATATTTCTATGTTCCCATCTAAAAAAAAAAAAATCTATATAATTTATTACTTTATATTCGTCAAATTATTTTTAAAATGTTTGGTTTGAAATTTTCAAAAAAAAAATTTATATTTTCAGTTCGTATTTTTATATTTTTAGTGATTTTTTAAAAATACTTTATTTATTTTATTATTACTTTTTAGATCCACTTATTCTTTTTAAATATTTAAAATGCATATAATTTGCATAATTTTTTTTAAAAAAATCATTAAACACAACAAAATATGAAAAATTATTGAATATATATATATATATTTTTTTGTATTTGATTTTCTTTTTACAAATAGTATATGTCACGATCCAAACCCGCCCCTATAAGTTTAGCATCATGACCGGCCAGTAATCTTAAGATTACCAAAGGCCTCTTAAACAGAATTACAATATAAGGGGCTAGCAAAAACAAATATAAAAACAAACATCGTTCAATGAGTTGTGCAGACTTATATGAGACAGAAATTTTTTTAAACTTATATGTACATATATCATGACGTCATCTTTACATCATCATATAATAGAGAAAAGTCAAAGGGGATTTAGTCTTATTTACAAAATAAAACTTGTTCATCTTAACAGAATAAAATAGAGACTTAAGTCATAATCACAAAGTCTTGATCGCAAAACATTTTTGAAACCTCTACGTGAGGCACAAAGGTTGGCTTGACAAATCAGATCCAGACAAAAGCCCTTAGGCCTGATCTACCGCTCGATCACCTACATATATATATATATATATATAAACAGCGAGTCCAGTGAATAACATTAAAGTAAAGTGGTTAGTGAACGAATTCCAAACATTTCATAATCATAAAACAGATCATAACATAATCATTCTCAAATTTGAACATAATAATGGTACATCCAACAGAACATGGCATATCGTCTTCCGATAGAGTAATCAGTCCTGCACATCGATTATCAAACATAACACCACTTTGTCAAGTGGCTAACGAGATCTCGTAATCACATAGATATCATGGATGACTTGAGACTTTCTTTGGATGTCATAATAGATTCAAACATAGGACATTCGTTCACTTAGATCAAATATCATTTCAGAAATTATAACTTATCAAATAACATTTCCAATATAATTCATATGAATATATCTTTACAATAACGTTACTCACCGTAGACTTCCAAAAATGACTGATCGATCTTCGAATATTGACCTATAATCACAAACGTACATAGTGCAAAATGTCTTATTATTACTCATTTATATGGCCAACGTGGCTTAGCTTTCCTTACATTAACTTCTTATTTATTCTATATCTCATAACTTGTTCATATTGAACCACATATTTGGATTGAATAATTCCTCTTATCTTTTCTAATTTAATTACTCATGTTGGTTTCTTACTTCTTAAACCTTAATGATTCATAAATCATGCATAAAAATGCCCGGAAAGAAATGGGAATGAAGATATGAACTTAAAACATCTTTTGAAAACATATGCTGAAAATAAACTATTGGCTAAAGCTAACTTTTGGTCGTCAGAGCTATCGTTTGCTCTAGTCAACTTTTGGTCGCCCAAGCTATCTATGAAATTCTGAGTTTTTAAAAAAGAAAGTTTGAACTCCAAATACAAATTCAAAGCCTTGGGTTATGCATAACTCATTCAAAAACACAAAATTACTTTCGAAAACCTATATACACGACCCTTTAAAAATCATTTGCTTTGAAATCTCATGAATTTACCAAAATTGAACTCAAAAGGTCTTGCATATAAGATTTTCAAACTCTTTTCTTTTGTTCTTTAAAATATGCAATGAAAACCACAAGCTCATGAATTTTTGAAACATTAAACATGATAATCTCTTAAAAGGTGACAAGTAAAACTTACGTGCATGCAAAAATTTCAAGACCAAAACCCAAAACATGAATGAACAAGGTATAATCTTCTATAAACATGCATGTAAGCTATTTTCTTGCTCAAAACCCATCTTCATTTCAAATTCCATTAGATGATTCTACAATTCTCTTAATACATGATGCATGGAGGGCTTTCTACGAAATTAAGACTTATAATCCTTACCTAGAGCCTTGAATTACACCTATTCTTGCATAATCTTGGCTCCTCTAGCAAAAATCTACAACTACTTCTTCAATTACGCACTTTCTCTCTCTAGATGGACTCTCTCTCTCTCTCTAAAAACCTCTCCAGCAGAAAATGAGAAGGGAATTGAGCTTAATGCTCTTATAACACACATATTTATACATGGAATTAGATTAGCACTAATTGAGCTTAACTTAACTAATCAAATCTTAAGATAATTAAACAAATCTTAATTTTTTTGAACTGAATCAAATTTTAATTAAATTTACCAAATGGTTCTAAAAATTTCAATTAATTAATTCAAGTAGCCAATTTCGATTTCTGATGCCGTTAAGTTCTTCAATTTCCATATCAAAACAAAATTCATTAAAGATAATTTTTAGATTAGACAGATATGCACAAATTAATCACGTGACACATATCACAATTAAAACTAAACACATAATTAAATTTATATAATCATGATATGCATTTTAGGGTCATTACAATATACATTTTAAAGGTATGTAAATAAAATATATCTAAAAATAAAAATAAAAAATTGAATAAAACATAAAACAGTCGATAGGCAAAATAAAATATATACTTTATAGTAATATTTAGATAGGTAAAATGCCTATTACCGTTGGAGATGCTCTTAGAAAACCATCAATAAACAACAAGTTAACATTAGAGCATCTCCACCTAAATCTTCAAAATTGGGTATGTCAAATTTTTTTGAAGATTTAGGTGGCAAATTGACATATGTCAATTTAATATAGAAACTCTTTCACCTGATATGTCAAATCTATTATTTTATTATTTTTAAAAAATAAAATTATTTTATTGAGTGAACTCAACATTTGATATCAACATGGAGCATGTTAAATTCATGCCAAATGCCAACCCACCATTTGGCATATTAGATAGAATTGATACTTGATGTCAAAATATGACTGTTAGAGTGCCACTTCAAATTTGAAGTATTGGGTGAAGGTATTCTTACCCATCAATTTAGTCAAAAAGTCATTAAAAAAATCAAAAAATCAACAAATCATACCAAAAAGTCAAAAAAAAAAAAATTCTCTACCTTTTACACATCTTTTCGTAAAATATTAAAAATTTATTCTAAATATATTAATTTTTTTAACATCATATTTTAATTAAATAATTAAATAATTACTGAAAAAATATATTCTTAAACGAGGCTTAAAATTAGACGGTTACAACAAAATCGTCAACTAATTTTCCTAAAAAATTGTGGAAAAAATACATAAAAAATATATTAAAAAATTGTGTCATTACGATCTTTCAAAACGTGTTGGTTCAACTTGTCATGATTGTTGCCTCAAAACAAGCAATGCCTCTTCATTTCGGAGGGCATTAAAATCTGTGAGCTCGCTACTCCCAAGAATAATATGGCAAGATCTTTAAATAAATAATAATATGTGTGAAAGACTTTTGCAAGTTTTCATAAGAAAAGTTAAGGTTGCGTTTCTTAAAATTTTAAAATTATGATTTAAAAATAGAATTATTTTTTGAGTTTTAAGTTTTAAAATTATGATTTAAATGTAAATATTTTATTTAGTTATAAATTTTGAAAAAAAAATTAAAAATAATTTTAAATTGAATTTAAAATAATTATAAATTAAATTTAAAATAATTAATGTGACATATCATATTATGATTTAATTTAAAATTTAAAATTATGATTTAACTCAAAATTTGTCATGATTGTTGCCTCAAAACAAGCAATGTTTTTTCATTTCGGAGCGCATTAAAATCTATGAGCTCACTACTCCCAAGATATATGGCAGGATCTTTAAATAAATAATAATATGTGTGAAAGACTTTTGCAAGTTTTCATAAGAAACGTTAAGGTTGCGTTTCGTAAAATTTTAAAATTATGATTTAAAAATAGAATTATTTTTTAAATATTTAAGTTTTAAAATTATGATTTTAGTTCTCGTTTGGGAACATGTTAATTTAGTAATTTTTTGGCTAATTATCTAAAAAGATAGGTAAAAAAATTTATATGTTTGGGATGACTTTTTGACTAATTACGAAAAGCTGTGCAAAAAAGTAGTAAGAAGCCATAATTGTTGACTTTTTGGTATGACTAATTGACTAATTGGCTAATTTAGTAACTTTTTGACTTTTTGACTAAAACAGAACTTTCCCAAACGAGGCCTAAATATAAAAATTTTATTTGGTTATAAATTTTTAAAAAAAAATTAGAAAGAACTTTAAATTGAGTTTAAAATAATTAATGTGACATATGATTTAATTCAAAATTTAAAACTATGATTTAACTCAAAATTTGTAATGATTATTGCCTCAAAACAAGTAATGATTTCATTTCGGAGAGCATTAAAATCTGTGAGCTCGCTACTCCCAAGAATAATATGGCAGGATCTTTAGATAAACAATAGTCTGTGTGAATGGCTGTTGCAAGTTTCCATAAGAACCATTACAACGCTGATTGAGGGCCCGAGACTTCGGGGCTCGAATGCCCCGAAAGTCCATTTTAGGTAAGAAAAAAAAGAAAAAAAAAGAGAAAAAAGAAAAAAAAAAAAAAACAGTTTTCAAAATTGGAAATTAGGGATATTAGGGGCAACTTTTTTAGGGCCACCAATCATTTTCCGAACCATTAAGGTTGCGTTTCGTAAAATTTTAAGATTATGATTTAAAAATAGAATTATTTTTTGAATATTTAAGTTTTAAAATTATGATTTAAATGTAGAAATTTAATTTGGTTATAAATTTTTTTAAAAAAAATTAAAAAAAAATTAAATTAAATTTAAAATAATTAATGTGACATATAATATTATGATTTAATTCAAAATTTAAAATTATGATTTAACTCAAAATTTGTCAGGATTGTTGCCTCAAAACAAGCAATGACTTTTCATTTCGGAGCGCATTAAAATCTGCGAGCGCGCTACTCCCAAGAATAATATTGCCGGATCTTTAAACAAACAATAATCTGTGTGAAAGACTTTTGCAAATTTCCATAAGAAACGTTAAGGTTGCGTTTCGTAAAATTTTAAAACTATGATTTAAAAGTATAATTATTTTTTGAGTATTTAAGTTTTAAAATTATGATTTAAATGTAAAAAGTTTATTTGGTTACTCCCTCTGTCCTAAAATAATGGTCTCTTTTGGAGAATTTAACTTTTTTTGGTAGTACAATTATTACACTTTAAAAAAGTTGATTTTCTAAAATTACCCTTTGATAGTATATTTTTTGGGAATATCAATGTCATAATTATACTTTTTACATTGTTTATTAATTTAAAAGAATGGCAAAATAGAAAATTTATATTATTTTTGTACTTGATGTTTGAAGAGGGACTAATATTTTGGAACAATGAAAAATGAAATAAGGGACTCATATTTTGGGACGGAGGGAGTATTTTGGTGTGTAGTAACCGGTCGTCTGGCTGGATGATCGACAGGATATCCCATCACTCTTAAGAATAAATGATCAAATATTATATAACCTGTTAACAGTGCATCGCTATATGTAATAATTTACTATAGCAATGCCAAATTTGTTTTGGTATAACGAGACTGATGAAACCAGATTTACCTTGCTAAACAATTTTTTTTTTTTCTTTTTAAAACCATAATAGCTTATGTGGATGTTTTCAAACTCTATATTCTAAAATTTAATTTTATAAAATATTTATTTTTATTAAGTGGTCGACCGAGTGAATGACTGAGTGATCAATTGCTTAGTGAAAATTGTCCCATTCTGAGGGATATTGGGTGATCGACCGGATAGATGACCGGCTCATCAACTACTTAGTGAAAATTGTCCAATTTTTTCATTTATTGATAGTCAACTAGGTAGTTGACCGGTGGATGATCAGATCATGGATCACTTCGTGAAATTTCCTCTAAAATAAATAATAAAATAGTACATAACTCATCAACTATATCGATACATTAAAGCCAAGTTTGGGAAGACTAAATAAGTGCACTTTTTGTCTTTTTGGACTAAAAAATTGAGATTGAAAATATGGATGTTTGGGTTAACTTTTTGACTTTTATGGAAAAATGTGTAATAAAAAATTGTAAATATATATATATATATATATATATATATATTTATATTTATATAACTAATCTGATACAAAAAAAATTCTAGATCTTATTTGACTAAGAGTTCGTTTGAGAATTGAGTTGACTTTTTGAATTTTTTGACTATTTTAACATGAGGCTAAAAAGCTTGGTTTGAGAAGAGCATTTGGCTTTTTTGACCTTTTTGTAAGAGAAAAAATGTAGCCTGCGTTTGGTTGTGTTTTGTAAATGTGATTTGAGAGCATGAGTTGTATTTTGAATTTGTGGATTGTAGAATTATGATTTGAGTGTAGAAAATTTGTTTGGTTATGGTTTTTAAATAGAGTGTTGAATTGTGTTTTGAAGATGTATTTTGAATTAAGTTTTGAAAGTTTGATGTGACATGTGAAAGGTGAAAATTTGTTTGGTGATGTGTTTTGAAAATAGTTTTCAAAACTTACTTCAACCAATAATTTATCATCAAACACACAACTCATATATCGATATCCATATTTTTTATCAACAATAATAACCAAACTATTTTTAAATTACTGAAATTAAAAATTGATTTTTTTTGTCAATTAATTTTTTATTTTGTAATTTTTTTGAATAATTGTTTTTTTGAAATAATTTTTTCATTTTAAAATACAACCTATGTCAATTATTTTCTGCCAATTAATTTTTCTATCAATTCATTTGTAAAATACGTTTTTAATTTTTTTCTAACATTTTGTTAAAGTCAACAACTTTTGAAAATACATATTAATAAAGAAGGAATAAATACACTAAATTTAATATTTTAAAATACAAATCATAACGCAAATCTTATAAAACATTATCAATTTTTTTTTATTTATTACATGTTATGAATTCCGTCTATATGTGGCAACAGAAATGCAATGCATTATTGTACCCGTTGAGCTCATATAATTGTGGGATTGGCATACAAAATGACTATTATGCCCCTCTTGACTTAAATAGAAAGTGATTACATAAAACAAAATATAAAGGGTAAGATAGTAATTTCAATTACTTATTACTTACCCCCTATTGTTTCATAGCTGTGTTTTCA